CGAATGTTTATTTCAGGGTAACTTGCTTCATTTCATCTAGTGGTTCTTAACTTGCAGAACACACGAGAATCACCCAGGGAGCTCTTGAGAAATAAACACTCGGGCCCCATCCGGAGAGACTCGGATTCGGTTGTCTGTGATGGGGTCCTGACATTTTGCTTTTGTTTTTGTGTTTCTGATGTGGGACCCGCTGATTAAAGCCATGATCTTGAGCTGTCATCAAAGGACAGGACAGGGGAAACAATGAGGGGAGGGAGATTCAAATCATCATCTCCTGGGGTGGGGAGAGAGGAACAAAATAGCGTCTCTTTCCATCCTTCTGAGAATATCTTTGCATCTCTTCCCTCTGATAATGTCGAACTTCTTGGAGTTCCCCGGCCTCTCCAGGTTACAGCTGGGGAAAAGCTAACCAGTGCCATGAATCCAATGAATCCCAGCTCCCACTAGATCGGATGTTGGGTTTGGCTCTGTGAAACATTAACTCATTTCTCTTTATCGCCGATTATAATAGGTTTCTTGTGAGGATGAAGTCCAGTCGTTCCTTGGACAGAAGGGGCGTGAGCCCCAGTTGGTTTCCCGAAGGAGGAGGCGGAGAAGCTGGGCGTGAACAGGGTTAGGCAGGTCTTGGGGAGTGAGGCTCGGGGTTCACCTTTGGTAAATGTTTAACCAGAAGCACCTTTACTATTCTTCAGTGTCTTTGTGAAAGTGAGTTTAAAGGGCATTTTGAAAGTCTACTAGAGGACAGCTGTTCCACTCCATGGCCTTTGTGGTGGCAAAGCAAGGGCCAGCCCAGGCTGGGTAACGCAGGGACTCGTGACCACATCTCAACACCAGAGGACGGCTGTCTTTCACATGAACACGACCCTGCTTCTCACTCTTTGCCCCCCAGATATGGTCTTCAGGAAGACCAGCATCCTTGCCTAGTGGCTCACTGCCTGCCCCTGGTCCGTCTAGGTGGCAAGATGAAAGCACGGCAAGGAGGCTTGGGGCAGAGCTACGTGTGGTAGGAAGACCTTCCACCATGAGCTTCGGAGGGTTTGTCTCAGACCTGATGGAAATCATGCCATTTTGGCAAACAAGGACCATAATACTACAACCACATTTTTAAAAATTACACTCTATTCGTCAGAAGCAGAGGAAGGGCTGATGAGAGTATTGTGAGTTGATGAATTTAGAAAAAACCAAAATCTGTAAGATTAATATTAAGATATTCATATTAAGATAATATTAAGCTCCTTTCAATAAAACTTAACTCTTCACTTTGAATTAATATCCAGAGCTCATCTTGGGCTTTCACCCCCCCTGTGAAAACAGTATTTTAATGAAGTTGTTACGAGAACAGAAAGTACTTTCTCTATTGTTTATTGAGAGAGCGATAACTTTATACATTAGGAACTGGTGCACTTAAATTATATGACAGATGACCATAAAAACTCGGGCTCTTGTCAACAACACAACTTTATCTTATATTATTACAGTTACTGATACTTAAAAATGATATAAACAAAAAGATGGATAAGTTATTCCAAAACAAAAGGCAATGAATTCCAGAAAACAGAAACAACATATATGTGTGTGTGTTTGTGTGTATGTTAGCGCATCAGCTATTTCAAAGAGCTCAACACAGAGTGATATAATAGCCCAAACCCAGAACCTAATTAATTCTGTACCGCGTGAGCAGAACTAAGGGAAAATGACACGGATCTGATCCAGGAGCCAAACAACGAGCGGAACAGAACTCTCTGCACCCCGTTCCATGCTCTTCGTTTGCAAACAACATTTTCTCTTTTACTATTCCTTAAAGACGGATTTTTTTTTTTCCCTCCCTAAATCTTGTATGGTAGGCTTCTGGCTATTCGAAATAAGATTGTGGTGGGTGACTGAAATCAGAACCTAGGCCTCCAGCAGCAAAAGCCAAATTTAATAGCTTGGTGGACCGCCCACGCCACCCAGAAACATTTTTATCACAATGTGTTTAAGAGGCTTCCCACTTCCTACTTGGAAAACAGGTGGCGAAGGAAAAAAGAAAACCTTTATACAGTAAAAGAAAACTCTGGTTTCTGTAATTTTTTAACCTGAAAAAGGCTAAGTTCACTGACTTTACAGATTCAAATCTGGAGAACTGGTTTAATTCCTCTACGCGTTGGCCTTGGTGACATCACGACATACATTCCCCTTAGTTTGGTTAAAGAAAGCAAGCAAACAAATGAAGAGTGATTAAAAAAAAAAAACAAAAAAACAACCCACAAAAAAATCCAGCATTAAACAAAGTTAAAACATTATGTGGTTGTGTCTTTTGTATTTCCTGGTATAAGTGTCCACGGAGCTAGGAAGCCCATGTTTCTGCCATTCTACTTTAACAATATGCTCCCAAAGGAATCTTTCCCTCTCCAGGTTAAGGCACCAGGTTAAACAAAGGTGAAAGGTCAGCCATGCTTGTGGAATGTGCAGGTTCTGAGCGCATCTGTACAGAGTGGCCATCAGGGAAGAAGCAAAGTGATCTGTGTTTAGGCAAAGGGCTTCCAGTGGGTCCACGGAGGAGACTAGAAGCATGAGGCAGTACTGTAAGGCACTCCTATGGGGAGAGACAGGGAAGCCCAGCATGGAGGACGAGCGCAGGCTCCCGCGGTCTGCCTCCGGCTTTCTGGCCAGGAGGCCTGACACCGGCTCGGGAGGAGGGCGAGGAAGATCCATGGGAACGGGAGAGGCTGGTCGACAGCTTGATGGTCAGGAGAAGGGAGTCTCTGCTGCGCTAAGAGTTGCTGTAGCACCTGCCCTGGGCAACGACTGTGGCTTCCTTCCACACCTTTCTAACAGGGTGGCATCTCTTTCCACAGGGAGGAACGAAAGCGAAAACAGCAGTTGTCCCTTTCTTCAAGCTGAACAATGCCTTCCATCACTTTGGAGGCCACTTGGCGAGGAAAGTGCCCTGTAACACGATCACTGGGAACCCGTTTTAAATAAAACCCCTGACAACCACGGTTGTGCTGAGGAGAGCATTCCACACTTCCGACTTTTACCTAGAGTTTAACAGTGACTTAGACTTGACCTTGGCCTGCACCCACTAAGACACACCAAAGAAGACCCTTCAAGTCAGAGGGTCTGAATACAATATAGAATTGTCTATCATGGGGAATTGCTGGGTGCTAGGACTTAACTGTGCCCCATGCCAGAAACCAACACTTGTCCGCTTAAATTAACCGAGTGGGGCTTACTCACCCACCACCAGGCTCTACTTAGAGCAATGAGTTCTACTAGACGCGGGGTTAGAAGAATGGTCCAAGGTACACAGCACACTAACACCCAGCTTCTAGCAAGTACCAAGGGAAGGAAAACAGTACCTCTACTGCCTCAGTTCATATCAAGGAGAGAGTGTTCATTTCGTTGTGTTTCACCCTAAATTCTCTACTTTCTGCCATTATCTTAGAGTAACAAATGTATTGAGACAGAAAATTCAAGAAATAAAGGGGAAATTGTATGCATCTCTCCTTACTGGGAAAAGTAAAAAAAAATAAAATAAAATAACCTCTGTATTGACTCTTGGCAGTATTAGAATCAAGAGCTGAAGACTGACATCCTAATCCGGTCACTTCAATAAAATGTGGTGGAGATGAATAATTCTGCCTAAACTTACGGACAGTGGCATTGGCTCCACCCTCAGTTGGGAGCAAAATGTATCTCGGCTTCCTCAGATAATGTCTCTCTTTGCATGAAGTGTTCAGTGGGGCATCCAGTCCTACCCCAATACAGTAATTTATACATGGCGGGTTTTTTTGGCCAACAGGTAGAGAATAAACCCAGAGGTTTGGAAGCCAAATCTTTTCAAGGAGGCACAGGGAGAAACCCTCCAGTGTCAATGTGCAGTGTGTACACACGCAGCGACAAACCAGAGGCCAGACCTCATCCAAGTGGACTCACTCTAGCTTCGCCGGAGTGAGGTCAACACCAGGGTTCTTGCTGCAGCTGGAAGAAAGTCATGGCACAGTCCTTTTGCAGGAGCCAAAATACCACTGTTAGTTGGAAACCACAAATCCCCAACACTACCGATACTCCTTTTTTGGTGGAAACCTAGCCTAGTAGAATCAAAAAGCGATTCCCCTCTCAGTGAATCAAGCGAGCAATCTCCAAACAGTATTACCCTTTAGTACTACAGATAGGAAAATAAGGGTAATACGGTCCCCTGAAAAGCAGGGAAGCAAAGGGGGATGACGAGTGTTGACGTGGTTTTCATATAAAGAGACTTTCAACGTTGGGGAAAATCAGCGCTGGAAAGAACACGATGCGATTCCAGTTGACTGCTCTTAAAGTACTTTGTGGCCTTCCCGCAGTGGTGCGAGTGAGGTCTATTTTGGGAACTGGCTTCTCTACTGCAGGGTTAGATGCCAACATTTTACCAGGGTTGGACGGTCTCACACATGTGTTTCTGGCACCGTTAGGAGGGATTTCCTCCAGTGATCCACCGGGGAATGGGCCTTTCAAGTGAAAAGTGGTTCCCCGGAGTCGGCTGCCAGCTCTAGGAGATTAATTGGCCATTTTCTCGGGTGTTTTATGTGCGAGTTATTTAATATGGGATGAGAGAGGGAATGTGAGGGGAAAGCAGGTATTAGCTTGGTCTTAGGGAGGTGGTAATCCACGGGTTTGCTTTTGTGTCGACAGTTTCTAAGCAGTGGAACAATTACCTAACAGTGCACCAAGTCATTTGTTTGGGTGGAAAACAGTAAGGGTGTTCATGGGCTCTAAGGCGTTCTGGGTTGGAAAATGGCAATGTTGAACTCATGACGACCCAATTCCGAAGCTGGCTCCGCTCTGTCCTATCAGATTTGTGTGGTGGTGGCTGTGGGCTGTGTAGGGGCATACAAAAAGGAGAGAAAAGAGAAGTAGCCAGGAAGTAGTCCTGCTTCTGGGTAGCCAATGGCGATTTTATATATATATATATATATATATATATATATATATATATGTATGTATATACATATATATATATATAATTTTTTTTTCTCTTCTGAAAATAAGCAGAAATTGACGTGGATAGAAGGTTCTCCTTAGGAGTTCCCAGGGAGGACCATATTTAGTGGGACCCTCTCCATGGGCACCGGTGAAGACAGAGGCCTTCAGAACAGGGATCCAGAATCGCACCCCCTGGCCGCTCGGATGCTAGGTGCCTGTGAGGTGGGACAGGGGATCCTGTGCCGAGAGCCAGCGTGCTGGGAGGGGCGTCTGCACTTCGGGGCTCCAAACGCAGGGTGCGGGGGACTGCCTCGCTGACAGTTGGGATCACGGATACATTAATTATGGTGAAGGCAGAAGTAAGCTACGGTGACAGGGAGCTGGGGGCGGAGGAAAAAGGCACTTTGCCATCGGAGCACATCTGTTTTATAATAAGCAGGTCTATAATTCTCTTGTGAAAGATCATGTTCTGCTATCTTCTCTGAGGCTGGAAAATATAAATACTGTGTTTCACGAAGGGGAGGAAAAAGGAGGAGAGGATCAAATTTGTTTGCCTGTTTGCCAAGTGCTTGTTTGAGATTTTTCCACCCTTTATCTTTTTGTGTGCAACATTCTCTGTAACTGGGGTGGGGGAAAAGTCAACCTGCTTTTCCAAGAATAAAAGGCTCCGTAAGGTCTCCTCATGAAGGGAGCCTTGGCCTTTTAGCAAGTTTTTATGCCCTTGGTTACAGCTGCTGTAGGATAGGAAAATAAATGGAGCTTGTGGTCTGGGGCCCAGGAACTGGCAGTCTGCACAAGTCTGTCTGAAATGTCTGGCCTCTATGTGGACGGAGGTATCAAGAGTTAGGATCTGGAGGGAGCAAGGTGTCGGGGTGGGGGGAGGGGGGCAGTGGCAATGGGGTTAAATGTATCCTGTACTTCCTGAGCCACTGATGCTCTAGATTCTAACAGCAGTGAAACTACCAAACCCGGAGGGCACTGGAGGCATCTGCTCGGCGGCAAGAGAGTCTTCTTAGTCGCCTGAACATTGTTTCAGGATCAGTGTATCTTTCTGTTCTGGAAAGAGTTCTGGTGGGAAGATGGGAGCCATGATTTCCAGCGCTGTCCCATCTGGCATTCTGGTCACAGCCACTGGACATGGCTCCTGGGAGGGCCCCGCACCACTCGGCCAAGCGGGGAAGCAGTTTCTTAAGACTTCCTACTCCTGTGATACGATTTTAGCACGTTCTGTTTCACTTTAAGGTGGCAATTATATGTGCGATTCTACATTTATTTAGACAATATTATTACACTGAATTCATTATATTTATAAGTTTGACATGGTCTTCATAATCTAGCATGGGGGTTTTGAAGTCCCATGTTACTTGGATTTTGTAAACAATTTTAAAATGCGAAAGTGGAAGTGACAAAGCAAAGGTCCAAATTAAAGTGCAAACACGAACAATGAGAAATAAAGCATTTGAAATAAATAGGAAATGCCCACACAAGATTCTGTGAAAAGAAATTGAAGACCAACTTATAGAATGTATGCATTATCTCCACCAGTCTGCAAACCGATGTATTTAACCACAGTCACAGGGAATTTCCTCAGGCCAGCACCATTACGACCTCATCAGTATTACCCATGAAACCCCGGGAAAACTGCTCTTCAGAAAGCTACGTTTTCAACCAACTATGGTGGGGGGCCTGCGGCATCAGGGGGCGCTGGGATTCATACCTGCAAACAGACCGACACATGCAGTCATTGGTCTCTGAGGTCTTTTTTCTCAGGAAAAAACTGGAGATGAACCTCAAACCCAGAAGGAGCTCTCCTCATAAATTCAGGGGTGCATGCTTTCTGTCAGAGGGAGAGCACAGGCCTCATCTCTGAGCCACTTGGCTCGGCTGAGGTGATCCCCACCTGTGTGGTAGAAACCGAGGTGATGGCGTCAGGGACACTGGGTCCTGGAACAATCCAGGTGTCGTTCCTGTGTCCTGAAGATTTTCATACGAAATAGACGGTGATGATTATTTGCCTCAGTTACTCCGTCCTTTGTGAAGGCTAAAAATAAATAACATGAAAATAACCCGAAGTTCTGTGGTTCTGTAGGAGATGCTTCCTCCTGTGTCCTATGTACTAAAATGGCCCCTGAGAGCCAAAAAAAAAAAAAGTCTGGACTCTAAAGCATTGGGTGTAAACCACGTTTTGCTTGGGAGCGAGCTGCTGAAATTCAAGGCTAAGTGTAATTCAGCTACTGGTAGTTTTCTGGAGCCACGGAGGCTTCAAGGACCTTTTGGACAGCGATTTGCACAGAACATACACACAGGACGTACTGGGATGCGTGGATATGCATGGGAATATACATCTATATCTAGCGGAAGATGAGACATCCTCCTCTTCCAGAGGGATCTGGCTGGCTAGCTAGGAAGCCGCCGGCTGCTGGCTCAGCGAGAGGTCAGTCCCTGGCCTCGGGCCCCCGCTGAGTCAGGTGTTCTGGTAGGACAGCTCGAACATGTTGCAAGCCTCCTCCAGGCTCTCGTCCATGTTCAGCCTCCGCCAGAAAGATTTCTGCTTCTTCTGCAGCTCCCGGCGGACACACCTCGGGCAGGGGACAGACTTCTCTTTGCATTCGGAATGGAAAACGGCCCCACAGCTTTCACACCTGCAAAAGCCAACCACAGAGATGATGACCAAGGTGGGAATGAACAAGACACAGACACCTGACATCCAGTGGCCTCCGTGCAGCTCAGAGGACATTTGTTCTGGGGAGCCCTGCCACCGGGAAGAGAGATGACTCATAGAAATGGGCTTTTTCCTTTTCCAAGATGTTCAAGATTGAATTTCACTTGAAAAAAAAGTGTTTTTTTTTTTTTTTTTTTTCTTTTTGATTAGAACTGGCTAGGGCGAGGCTTATGGCTTACAGTGGAGAGCAGTCAGCAGTCAACTAGCAATGGTGTGATCACGGGGACAATGGGCAGATCTCTGCAAGCTCTGTGGGTTAGTTTCCCCTCCAATGGCCCTGGGGTAAAGGGGCAGAGAACGGGAGTGCTGTGTTCCACCGACTGCAAGCGCTCTGAACACCAGAGACAACCCCAGTGTGTGACCACAGTGAAAATGTAGCTCCCCACTTCTGTAAACACGGGGCAAGTGGGTCCCTGTTACTCCTTGCCCTCATTTAACAGTTTGGAAAGATAACAGGACACATTTTCATTTTCTGATTGTTATCCTCAGGTCTATTGTCCTTCTGACTTTTCTTCTTCTTTTTTTTTTAATTGGGAAAACCCCCACCACTGTAAGCCCATCTTTATAGCACAAGTGTGAAGGGTAAAGCATGGGAAAGTTGGGATGAGAATAGTTTTAAAACACGCAGATACTGTAACTTATAGAGAGGAGGCATTGCAGGTGGATGACTAGCTCGCTGTCTGGCTTGGTGGAAGCCTGTGCGATAGTCCAAAATGGCTTGTTTCTGCTGCAGAGTCTTTAACAATGAGGAACTGACAAGCACAACGATGGCTGCCCAAGGGGTGGCTGGCCAGTGTGGGTTACGGTGCCCATCCTTCCATCGCAGAGTGACAAGCAACTATTCCCTCATCTCAGGAGCCCAAGGAATTGGTTTGACCAGCAGCAGTCCCAGGAGGGTCCAGGACTAGGCTGGGTTCACAGGCGACTATGCAGGAAGCAGTTCTCATGGCTCAGCTTGTGCTCCTGTTGCTTTTCCTCTGGTACCTTGGGCTTCCGTCCTGGGCATAAGATGGTCTTTGGAGCATCATTCTCTAGTGTGCAACAGACTTAGCCCCGACATCATTTAGGATTCAGAAAGTTTGATGAAAGGAGGATCCTCCCACCCACCTTTGTACCCAGGGAGTGAGAGACACTGGGAGTGGGGTGGCGTAGGGAGAGGTGCAGGGAGGAAGGCCATATTGATCAGCTGAGAGACCAAAAGACAGAAGCTTCACTGTACCCAGTAGTCTCTGCTCAAGCTCAGCTTTCTGGGCAAGTAAAACAGAGAGGCAGTATGAAAGTAGGCATAGGGTTACTTGGCCTGACTTCAAATCCCACCTTCAAATCACTTTCTGGCTACATGACTGCTACGGACTGAATTGTATGGCCACCGCCCCACCCTGCCACTCAAGGCCTATTTTGAAGCCCTAACCCCCAGCGACACTGCCTGTGGAGACAGGGTTAAATCAGGTCAGGAGGGTGGGCCCTGATTACTGTCCTTATAAGAAGAGACGTCAGAGGGCTTTCTCTCTCTTCTCCCCCACTGTGTGCACCCAGAGGAAGGGCCGTGTGAGGAGCACAGCAAGAAGGTGGCCATCTTGCAAGCCAGGAAGGGAGCTCTCACTGCAAACCACGTCCTGCTGGGTCTTGCTCTGGGACTCCCAGCTTCCAGAACCATGGGCAGTAAATATCTGTTGTGTGAGCCCCCCTGGGCTGTGGTATTTTGGAGGACAGCCTGAGTAGTCTGTGACAGTGACCTGGAGTAAGTCATTTCACCTCTCTGCGCCTCAATCACCTTGTCTTAACATGCCCCTCAGAGAGGTCTTGTGAGGCTCAAAGGGAATAACAAATGAAGTGTGTAGTGGAGTTCCTGCACAGGAATACAGCTAAAACTGCTCCTTCCAAGGTGAGCAGCCGCCTCCGGGTGTCTTTGGCGACTCTTCCTGCAGTCTGATGGCACCGATGTCACCACGGTGACCTGAGGACATCTTGGATCAACCCCCTCGTGGCACAGATAAGAAGACTGAGATTCTAAGAAGCCTAGTGATTGTCTCGTGAGGACACACGGAGTTAGGTTGTGACTAGAACCCGGGACTCCGATAGCCCAACCATGGCTTCCACTGAGGCCGAGTCATGTGAGTGAGGGGAATGCGCCATCCTGGAGGGAAACGTGGGCTTCCAGTCAGAAGACTCCTGTTCCGATCACAACCCTTTCTTTGAGTGATCTTGGGCAAGTCACTGACTTTCTCTGGTCTCCTCATTTGTAAAATGCTGCTCACAGTGGCCTCCTTCCTACTCACTGGGGTTCTGTGGGACACACATGGGTGACCGTATGTGGAATGAGCAGGTGAACGTGACATCACCTTTCATGGTGACTCTTGTCCCTGCCTTCCTCATGCTGGAGCCACACCGGTCAGGATAGCCGAGCTGGCAGAATCTTCTCCAGCATCTCCCGTCCCTCAGCCCCTCCCTCCTTCTAGGGGGATGAAGGTTAGACCCACGTCTCCTCATGCCTCTTCTCTGGGCCAACTCCACCCCAGTGGCAATGGCTTTGTCCTCCCTGGGTCACACCTCTGTACCTTCCTGTCACTGAAGTGACACTACTGGTAGCCTTATCAAGTAAATTTCCTCCTTCCTGCCCCTTTGCCCTGCTGAGTAAGTGATTTACACACCTAAGGATATTGCCCGAGGGCAGTGATTGATAAGGAGAAAACCATGGGCTTCCTTCAGTACCACTCCCTTATCTCTGCTGATACGGGCACCCCCCCCACACCCCTGCACCCTGCTCCGGTGAAGAGGTTGAGTCTTATTGGGTATTTCTGGTGCAAAAAACACTCATGGGGTGGCCTAGGGGCTGAGTACACCTGCTCTTTCTAGCCAAAGGTCAGTAACTGCAAAAAAGTCCAAGATAAAAAATTAATGATTTCAGAATGTAACCAAGTCCTATTTTCTAACCATTTGTAAGCCAGCAGTCATCTTTTGAACTGTATAATGGACAGACTGATCAATGACCTTCCCAAATTCAGACAATCTATTATTAACTTTCCCCCTGATTTTTTTTTTTAAATGAAAAGAATAAGGTCAGGAAAAGGAAGGAGGAAGAGAAACTGTTTCTTACATAAAAGTTATGGTGCTTTGTAAGAAAAATGTGCAGGAAAAATAAAGTGTTTGTATTAAAAAATGCAATATATAGGCATGCTCCTCTTTGAGAATATTATTTAAAAGGCCCTTTCACTTTAAAAGAGTTCACTGGCTCTTTAGTGTTTACTGAATTTCCTGACTGTATTTAAAATATGATTTTACAAACAACTTTTCAGGAACATAGCTTATATATAAGGTAAATTTACCAATGCAATCATCCATGTAGAAAATTGCAGCAGATAATGAAAGAGAAATGTCCTTCAGTGTTCCCAAGTGATAAATCAAATGAAAGCCAGCCAGTTTCATCTTCATTTCTGAGTTCCCCACTCCCAGCAATCAGCAGTTTCGCTGTCTTTCTGGTGTTGGTTGTACACCACAGCGAACAAAGACCGAGGTCTTCCTTTCCAGTGTCCCAGAGAACGCAACTACAGGGAGACATATATTTGCTACTGACCAAAGCCATCCAGTGGGTTATTCCTGAAAACGTCTGTTGCTTCACTGAATCCAGGGATCTCAACCTCATACTGTTGGCATTTGGGGCCAGAGAGTTAGTTCTCTGTGGTGCAGGGCTGCCCTGGCACTGCACGGTGTTCAGTGGTATCCCCCCGCCCCTACCCAGCAGATGCTGGTCACAATCCTTCCCCACCCAGGTTGTGACAACCAACAGTGTCTCTGGACATGGCCACAAGTCCAAATGCCCCCTGGGAGGGGCAGGGAGATCATCCCAGTTGAGAACCATTGACCTAACCTATCTGGAGAAAGCATCGTGGAGGAAGCGCCCGGGGGGACTGAAACAGCGCCCCCCACTCCCGGTGGAATTCGCAAGTGTCAACTGCTAGCTTATACCAACCAATAAGGTCCAACACAGTGTTACTGATTCATTTCATTTTCACAAATATATATATTTTTAATACATCATTCGGTTAAAATAGCTGAAACTCACAGGCGTTAACCACCCCATGGTTTTGAAAATTAATTTAGAACATCATATAAGAAATCAATACCCACGACACAATTCTGTGCACGCCATGGGAACCCTTGACTTTCTATCAACTCACTCTGATTTTTTGGTCTTCCTCAAAAGCCATCCTGGTGGTTGACCCTCAGTCACATTTATTTACTCCCTGGCCAAGAATATTGGGGCTGTTTCTCTGGAGTGGTCTTCACTTTGTTATGCCCTATGTAGGCCATCTAGCAAATCTAAACCAAAAACTTCTACTTGCCCCACAAAATAAATTGCTTTTATGTAACTGGGAAGCGGTTAGGTTTCAGCAACATCTACAATGAAAAGGAGGCCAGAAAATATTAAGGAGGATACTTACTGCAGAGAGGAGGGCTGGACTGGAGTGAGGAGCCCTGAGTTCTTGGCCCAGGCTGGCCCCACTGTCCCCGGGGCCTTGGGTAAGTTACTTCATCCCTGAACCTCTCGTTCTCCACAGAAGTAAAAGGGGAGGTTGGATTATCTAAGGTCCTTCCAACTTGCAGATTTTGCGCAGGGCAGGGGTTTGGGGCAGGGAAAGGCTGTTCTGGGTCTTACCCTTCTCTTTCCACATTTTCTTGCCCCCAAGTTTGTGGATGGATGAGTGGGAATTCAGCCTTGCCGGCCACTCCTTGGAAAGCCTCAAACTGACAAGCTGGGACTGAATGTGAATGTGAAGTGAAGTGAAGAGCATTACTTTAAATTTTATTTATTTGCGGTGGTTAATCAAACCATGGAATAGCTTACAGACTAGTACATACAGCTCTGGTTATCAGGAATTTGGCTAAAAGGAGCTGACTCTGCCTCTTTCTCAGAACATC